CCAGCCTGGCTCCAGAGCAGAGGGGCTCGTAGGACTCAGAATCCATGGAACTCATCCAGGACCTGCAAATCTGTGCCAAAAAGAAGAGCTCGGGCTGGAAAAGGAACATTGAAGGATTTCTTGCTGGAAAGGGTGGGGAGGCCTTGGCAGGGGCTGCCCAGGGAGGTTTGGAGTGCCCAGCCCTGGAGGTGTCCCAGGAAGGCCTGGCCGTGGCACTCAGTGCTCTGGGCTGGGGGACAAGGTGGGGATGGGGCACAGGGTGGGATCCATGGGCTGGGAGGGCTTTTCCAACCTCAGGGATTTTGGCATTTAGTCAATGATTGTATGTTCCTGGAAAATATGCCCAGAGGCAGGGATAGCTCACGTGTGTTTTATACACAGGGAAAGCCAGTGGTTATTAAGGACACTTTCAAACCTGAAGGTCATTTCCCAGAGATCTTCCATTTTCCCTGAGCTGCTCTCTCCCTTCTCCCTGGACAACTTGGCATCACTCCCAACTCCACCATGAGGCATCCAGCACCCTTTTTTCAGCCCACCCCAGGCTCCCATTTTGCCTCGTTTTCCTAATTTTAATTAGCAGGGAGTAAAGCCCCTTAATCCAGCACAGATATATTTTATCTATAGTATTACAAGAGGAATCAGCTTGGAGAACTGGGAAACAAAATACAATATATATATATATATAAATATATGTGTATATATATATATATATATATATAACAAAAAACAATATATATTAAAATATATCCAATCAGCCAAACCTGGTTTTGTCTAAATAATTCTGAAGGTTTATAAGTCTCTTAACCTGCTGGTCAGCTCCAAATTAACCCCCTCACCCACCCCCATCAGATAAATTCATGTTTTTCCTTCTCTCTTCAGCAGTGTCTTCTGGGAGACCAGTATTTACTGAGTCTTACCCAGGCCTCCCAGAAAACCCAAACACTCTGGATTTAAAGAGGAAAATGGGTGCAGGGAGTGGGGCTTTGCTCCATTTCCCCTGGGTTTGGAACAGCTCCTCACCCCACACTCATCCCCTCCCCTGACACAGTGCCAGGGCTGCTCCCTGCCCGGCCAGGCTGCCACCTAAGCAATAAAATGATTTGCAAAGTCTTCAGAAGCTTATAAAAGTGATTGATAAGCTCATCTGCCGGGCCCTTCCTGCCTCGGAAAGTCTGGCTGGTAATTGCAGCATCTCAAAAAAAAAAAAAAAAAAGAGAAAAAATGGAACTGTTGAAGCATTTTCAGGGCTCTGTTTGCAGCGGGCAAAGCCTGAACAGCCTCCCAAGGCAGGCAGAGCCCCCCAGATTAACCAAAATTAGCCCTCCCCTTCATCCCCAGCCCCCCCCCCCCCCC